TTCTTTCTTTCTTTCTTTCTTTCTTTCTTTCTTTCTTTCTTTCTTTCCTAAATTGTTATTCAGATCGAAAGGACTAGCTGGGCAACTAGAAAGACTGATGATTCAGGGATTTTTCCTACTTAAGATGGCCATTGTGAACCACCTTGTCCTTAGAAATGATATTAGCTTAAGTAATGACCTAAATTAAAATCTGATGGGAGGGAACTCATTTACCATTTAGATTGGCTCCAAAAGGAATTCTTGGCATGAAAGTTACAAAAATAGTAATAGCTGCCATTGGATAGTGCTTTACAATTTTCAAAGCTATTTCACACTTGATCCTTGAAAAAAATCACCCGGCAAGATAGCAACAGGTAGTGGATAGAGATCCAGCCTTAGCTCAAGATCTGCCTCTGACCCATTCTTGCCATGTAAGCCTGGGCAAGTCATTTAACTTCTCAGTGGACCCAGGCAACTCTCTAAGATAAAGTCTTATATTGATCTGCATCTGTGAAAATAGTTTCCATGCTAGCAGTCTCCTACGTGATCAAAGATAGATCTGGACCAAAGCAAAACAAAACAAAACCCAACCACTCTATGAGGTGGGTATCCTAGTGTAGTAAAAAGAGTACAGGAGTCAGGAGATTGCTGAATTCCAATCATGGTCCTGAAATTTGCTAGCTGTGTGACATTGGGAAAATTACTCAAACTGTCTTAGCCTTGGTTGTCTTATCTGTAAAATGGGGATAAATGAACTCCTATTAATCACCTCACAAAGTTGTAAGGAAAATACTTGTAAAACTTAAAATGCCATATAAATGTGAGTTACTGTATGAACCATATCAACCTGGGTATAGCTGAAGGAATGCAAAGCAAAATTCACTAGCTCCAGTATGGCTAAGTGTCTCTTTGAGGCACTGAAGCATAGTTTTCAGGACCCTGTCTCTCTATACCAAGAACTGAAAAGAATTTTTCTTGCCCCCATCTAAATATTGAGTAGATCCCCAATCCCAAGACCATGCTTCTCCCTAGCCTCAGAAACACTATCTCTGGCAGTTTCTCCCCAACCCAAGGACACTGTGTCTAGCAATTACTCATGAATGGGCCTCAGCAGCACATTTATGTCTGTCCCTGGTGCAGTTACTAACTGCACCTGAAGGAATTATTAGTTTGAATTGGCTTTGTACTAGGGCATAAAGATATTCGTATCCACTGGACCATCTATACTAACTCCCTATGTCATTATTTGCATCCTGGGCTCCTCATTATGTGTATTCTAGACTTAAGACATATGTATACTCCCTACATCTATCTTGGCAAACAAGACATTGATTGGTGGCAGACTGGACAACCCTCAGTTGGCCCTGACTGCTAGTTAACTTAGTGATGTAGCAGACCTAAAAACCACACCTCCATGTAGCCGTGCCTTGTGCCTTTCCTGGTGAACTCTGGGCAAAACACCTGTGCAGTACATATAAAAAGTACACATTCCTTGAAGAACTGACCACTCCTTAACTACTCCCTAATCCCACCCTGAATCACCTAGTTAGCATATTTGGCACATGTTTTACTATAGTTTATCCCATATAAACTTTAACGGAATCCCTCTAAGGTCGCAGGTTCCTTGAGAATCCTTGCCTGCTATATAGCATAACAATGATCTTTGCCAACTTGACTTAAAGAATGCTTGAGTCTGTGAATTCATTCCAGACAACCCCGCCCTGCACTCTGGTCTTTGAGGGGTCTCAACTTCTCAAACTGCAAGAAGAGGAAATAGAAAAAAGAAAATCTGAGAGACTGCTATGCTGGCTGGGTGCAGCTGTGGGTTTGCTTAAACAGGCCTCAAAAAAGCTTAAACATAAGCATAAGCTTTACATAAGCAGCTTTACAAAAGAGCAATCATTCCCTTACTGTTGGAAACAGCTCCAGGAAATAAGAGTAGCAGCTCAGTAGAAAAAAAGTCTCATAGAGAGGACAGCAGCTACTCTGCAGAGAGTAGCAAGTGACAATTTTTGAAAGTGGAGTGAAGTAGTAATGAAGCATAGCACGTTGCCAAGAGATTTCGTGATGGAGTTATGAGAGGTATACCAGATGGGATGCAATGGCAGGATGATGAACTTTCTGGAAGAGTTCTTTTTTTTCCCATGGCAGCATGTGAATTTGAGGGAGATTATACCCCCTTTATGTATATTTTTGGAAGTAGAAATAAATCCTCTATTTATCTTTCCATTTTGTTTTATTAAATGCTTTTTGCTCTAAATTCATGTATTGTCTGGCTAGGTCTGGTTAAAAAAAAAAAAAGGTTGATTAAAACCTGAGAAGTCTTAAATGAACTGATGCAAAGTGAAGTGAGCAGAACCAGGAGAACATTGTACACAGTAATAGCAATACTGTAGCGATGATCAACCGCGAAAGACTTAGCTACTCTGATCAAAATAATGATCCAAGACAATTCCAAAGGACCCATAATGAAATATGCTATCCATCTCCAGAAAGAACTGATGAATTTTGAGTGCAGATTGAAGTATACTTTTAAAACCTTATTTTTCTTGTTTTTGTGTGTGTTTTTTTCTTTTGCAACATGGTTAATATGGAAATATGTTTTGCATGACTTCACATGTATTATCAATATAATATTGCTTGCCTTGTCAAGTGTGGAGAGTGAAAAGGGGAAAAGAATTTGGAACTCAAAGTTTTTAAAAAATTAATGTTAAAATTTTTAAATTGGGAAATATTTAATGAAATAAAAAAAATTTAAAAAGGAGTTTCACTGATGGGAGATGAGAATTATGAATTTGAATAGAAGATTATCCTAACAGCACCATGAATATTAGCGTATCTGAGGAGCCCATAACTTTGTTGTTATTTTTATTTTATAGATGAGAAAATTGAGGCTCAGAGAGGTAGAGACATTTCTAAGGGCATTTGGCTAGCAAGTAGAAAAGTTACCACTCAGATCCATGCTTTTTAATGCCTACTCCAATATTCTTTTTATTACCTTCCCAGTGTGGATTATCCCCAATATATCCTGTATATAGTTTGTTTATACATAGCTGTTTGCATGTTCTCACTCCCATTAGACTCTGAGCAGCTTGTGAGCAGGAACTATCTTTTGCCTCTTGCCTTCTTTTCTTATCTTTGCCCACCCCCAGAGCTTTTCAAGATGTCTTACCCATACTAGGTGCTTAACAAATACTTTTCTAACTTATTGACTATACTCAGGTCCTGAATACCATACTTAGATCTTAGAGTTCCAAAGCTTCATTTCCATTTGTGTTTAATTTAACAAATCTAACACACATTCATTACGTTAATACAAAAAAATTCATAAATACCTTACGTAATTCTCTATACTGTTATCAATATATGTGCTTAATAGGTAGTAAGAAAGGGAAATAGAAAATCTGACAAGACAGCATCCCGAGTGTACCTGTACAAAACAGGGTTTTCTACGGATTTGTCATTGGGCAGAGCCTGAGCCCACATTTTCTGACGAGGAGATAAGAGTTGACCTGTCGGTATTTCAGAATTCCTGATCAGAGGGATCTTTCCACTCTTCAAAGACCCAGCATGTTCTACTGCCTTTTTTCGACTGTTTGCCAAGGAACGGAGAAGCTGGACCTATTCCATAACAGAATCAATTCATTAAAAATCTCAAACCTTTGGCATTTCAAAACAAACTGCATGATCCCCAGAGAGCAAAATTACCTATGACTTGATGGGAACCATGGCATACATGAGCAGATTGCAGCATGCCACTATAAGTGACATTCAAGAAATGATGTAAAGGAAAAACATTATTAAGGACATGTATAATCAGAAAAAAAGGACTAACTTATTGTAGAGAATGAAAGACAGCAGATGGACAGTCTTTGTAGTATACTGGAACCCCTGAGATATCAAAAGAACCAGAGGAAAGTCTTCAATGTTTTATATAAATCCTTTATATGAGGGGTTCTTAACCTTAGGGGTTCACAGGCCCTCTGGAGGAGTCTGTGGATAGATATTAAGGGATCTGTGAACTTAGATGGGAAAAAATGACATCATTATTTTCACTAACCTCTACCTGAAATCTAACATTTCATTCAATTATAAGTGTAGGCAATAAAATGTTATTCTGAAAAGGGATCCAGGGGTATCACCTATGTTCTTTGGATTGTCAAAGGGGCCCATGACACAAAAAAAAAGATTAAGAACCCCTGCTCTCTTGAGGAAAAACATGGGTAAGAAGTATAGATAATAAGGAAGCTAGGAGGGGTTACAATTCATACCAGTGGAGGGAACAACCACACTGTTGAGGTCATGGCTCTATTGAAGTACGTATCATTCTGGCATTCATGGCTTTGTCAGTGCTACTACACATATTAATGGCGGGAGGGGGAACAATGCAGAAGGTGGAACGTACCTCATCGTTAAAGATCTGTCTGTAGACTTTTCCACTTTGAACTGTCTTCATCTTCCCCACTAAAGAACTGCTCCTTGGAGGAGGATTTTCAGGTAATGACCTTTTTCTTCCCAAAAAAGAAACTGTCTTTAAAGTTTCTGTCCAAGTCTTTGTTGATAAGGATCCAAAGAATGTGAGAAAATAAAAGGAACATCCGAAGTCAGTCAGGAGACATTTTCACAGAAACAAAAGCCCTATGCAACAATGAGGAATGGAATCATGGCTTTTTAGAAGGTGGGTTCCATTCTCTTTACCACCTTGCCCGAACCTAACACAAGATTCTCCCCTCCCCCAGTTCCCTCTCCACTCTCAATATGAATCTCCAATATGCTCCCAGTCTTGGATTTGGAAATACAGTACCAATAAAGCCTGTGGCAGAGGGTAGAGGTGGGCAAGGGTGTGAAGGAGAGGCAATGAAGGGAGATTTATTTTTATAAATGAGGAGGTCAAAAGAAGTTGGAAATGGAATGAAAAATGAACAGTAACAGGCAGTAAGACCTTATTCTTGCTGTCTCCCCATCACCAAGGAGATAAACTACACAAGGGAAAACCAAAATAAGGGAGAGAGTGGTGGAGGAGTAGAGAGAATCTGGGTATGGCCTGGCTATTTCTAGATACTGTATTTGTGATGAATAACATGAAGTCCTTAATCTCAGAGGGACTCACAGGTCAAATAAAGACATTATTCTTATTGCTCCAAGTGTAAAGTTAAATGACAAGGTCAGAAACAACATGATACCACTGTCCCAGACCCTAACTTTACTTAAGGGAGGGGAAGAGGTGGGAAGCCAGTCATATATCCATCCAAACAACTAATTGGTCTGCATCATGATGGTCACTTTTCTAAAGCCCCTACATAATGTATTATAGTTAGGTGTGATTGAGTCATATCTCCCTATTAGACTATGAATTCTGTGAGGATGGGAACCAAGTGTTGCCTAAACTTTGTATCTTTCCTAACATCTAACAGCACCCTATACGTGGTACAAAATATAATAAGGGTTTACTGAATTGAAATGAATTCAGAGCCACTGAGACCCTTGGAGTAGCCTCTTTGGGATACTGACTACTGGGGATCTCAGGTTTGAGGAGATAAGAAAAGAGAAACTTTGAGATTAGGGAGCAGTAGTGCTTGGGAGAAGCCAAGGGGAAGAGGCTGGAGTTTGGAGGGGAGGGGTAATATATATTATGTGTGAATGGGGGGAGGGAATGGTCTGGAGAGATTCTTTCTGGCTTAAGGGGAGAGCTAGAGGGGATGAGAAGAAGTGGATAGGTGGCTACTTTCATGGGCTATTTAGGGGTCAATGGAATGGGAAAAAGTTTGGCAGAAGTCAAAGAGGAGGACCTGAGGGAAAGTAGAATATTGGAGGACATATGAATTTGGGGGAAAAGCAGGTGATTTGGGGGAAAGAAGGATAAATTTGAGGGGAAGGGAGGATGACCTTGGGGAAAGGGTAATGAATTAGGGAGAGGGTACCAAATGGGGAACGATGAATTTAGGAGAGGAGGATTAAAGGGGAGATGGTTAAATGGAAAGAGGAAGGAAGAATGGGGAGGAGGATGAATGGAAGAAGGGAGAAAGAAAAAAAGAGGAAGGAAGGAGGGAGGGAGGGGAATGAATGGAAGAAGGAAGAGGATGAATGGGAGAGTACTCACATCCCCAAACTAACTCTCCATACCCTCCATTTTCCCACTTTGTCGCACCTCAGAATAGAAGCTACTTTTGCGGCCAAGGCTGAACTCGCTAGACACTGGATCCAAGGGAATACTGGGTAAAGAACTGCCTGTTGAGATTCGAGGGCTCGGGACCAGAGGTCCCGGCAGGCTGCTGCGCGTCCTCACCATGGCAACGCCTTCCCGGCTTTATCGCCAGACTTGTTGGAGTTCTTTGTTTCTTAGCCTCAGGAGTTGGGCTGTTGCCCCTGACAACGGGGGAAGCGTCTCTGACGTTGCCACGCTGTCCTGTTCGCCCCCTGGTGGCAGCCTGTAGAAGCGATGGGCTCCGCCTACACAGTACCTCATCCAGGACTCTTTTTCTTTCTTTCTCCTCTTTTTTCACATTTAACACATTGCTTTTGTTGAAAAGAATAAAACTTTAAAAGAAATATAAAGTAAGCAGAGCCCAGAAGACTACAACAATGCAAATAGAAAGAACAATTACACACCAAAAAAAAAATCAAAAGTAAATACTGCAAAATTAGGAAGAGCACACGGAACTGGCTGAGGACATATGAAAAGACACCCCGACAGATCCCTTCTTGGACGTGGGAGGTCCACAAATGTTGACCTTTTTTCGGACTTTTTCGGTGTCACTCTTGATTTTTACCCCATTCTAAAAAAATTCCATTTGTTCTATGAGATGGCTCTCTGCGAAGGGGAGTGGGAGAGATATTTGGGGAAACCATGATGATGCAAGAAACAGAGTATGTCAACAAAAACATTTTTAAAAAGGAAAGAAATATGAAGGTAAACAAAAAAGTTAATATAGTAATTCTCACTGTGATTTTTGTCATTTCTCTACTGTGAAGTTCCACCTTATATAAAAACTCCTGTTGCTTAAGAAATTGCTTAACCTTAACTTTTGAAAATATTTTACTGATGTTCTTTTTTTTATCACTTTCAGTTCCTTCTCACACCAGAAAATATCCTCTCCCCTCGCATTCATTGTCTCTCTCAAATGTATCCTTCCTCCCTTCTCCCATTCATCGTCTTGTTTATGTAGTGCCTCTCCAAAATTTATCCTACCTCCCCCACTCATTCTTCTCTCCCAAATTAAATATCCCATCCTCAACTTTATCCTCTTTCCTTCCCAAATTTATACTCCCTCCATTAAAGTCACCCACCCCTAATTAGTCTTTCCCCAATACACTACCTTCCCCCAGTTCTTTTACAGATTGTGTGTCTGTTGCCTGAAGATCATCCTAGCAAAATTTGGGGAAGTTTATTCCCAGATTGGCAGTAAAGGGATGAATTTTTCAGCTACAGATAGGCATCAGTAGACATGGCCACAATAATGAGATAATGGATCCTCCAAGCAATGGTAGGTGGTGTAGATACAAAATATAAATCACACAATTCCTACCCTCAAAGAGCTTACAATCTAGGGGGGTTTGAAATCAACACGTATATACATAAAAGTGATCAAAGGTAAAGTGTGACAGATTCCTCATCCCTGGACTAGATTAAGGAAGGCCTTTTCTACCAGGTGAGGGTGTTTGCATTTTGTGCCATAGACCCAGGGACTGAGGCCTGTTAGAAAGTGGCTATTCCCTCAGGTGTGTGTCAGAGTAACCCACAGGGCCAAGGCTGGTAACTTAAGTAGGCTGCACCTGGTGGTAAATTTAGATATTACACTCAGCTACTAAAACTGCCCAGCTGTACAATTGGTTGTAGGTGACTTGCTCTCTCCCTTTTTTCACCTTCTCTTTCTAAGGACCAGGTCTCCATGCCACTTCTTGCTATCTTTTAACCAAGTTGTAATGTGGGGATCCCCTCCCACCTACCACTTTTCAGCTCCTTTTTATGTATTGTCTTATCCGTTAGAATGTAAACTCCTTCAGAAGAGAGACTCTCTTGCTTTGCTTTTGTTATTGTTATTGTTGTTTTTGTTCTTCATTTTCTTTTTTTAAATTTTTTTTATTAATTTATTTTGATTTATCAACAATCACTTCCATATGCTTTTGAGTTTAAAATTTTTCTCCCCCTTCCTCTCCACCACCCTCCCCAAGATGGCACACAATCTGATATAGGCTATACAATTACATTCATATTAAACATATTTTCACATTAGTGATGTTTAAGTAAAAATTAAAACCAATAGGAAGAACCATTAGAAAGAGGAAATAAAACTCAACAGAAGAGAAAAAAACAGCAATTCAACTTCCATAGTTCTTTCTTTGGATGTGGATAGCATTTTCCATCACAAGGCCTCTGGAGATGTCTTAGATCCTTGTATTGCCAGGAAGGGTTAAGTTTATCAATATTAGTCATCACACAACGTGGCTGTTATTGTGCACAATGTTCTCCTGCTTCTGCTCACTTCACTCAGCATCAGACCATACAAGTCTTTCCAGGTTTTTCTGAAGTCAGCCTGTTCATCATTTCTTATAGCACAATGGTATTCCATTACATTCATATACCAAAACTTGTTTATTATTTCAAGTATTTTTTACTCGATTCTCTGGGATTCTCTAAGTATAACATCATGTTATTTGCAAAGAGTGATAGTTTTGTTTCTTCTTTGCCTATTCTATGCCTTCAATGTCTTTTTCTTCTCTTATTGCTAAAGCTAACGTTTCCAGTACGATGTTGAATAACAGTGGTGACAATGGACATCCTTGTTTCACCCCCGATCTTACTGGAAATGCTTCTAGCTTGTCCCATTACATATTATGCTTGCTGAAGGTTTTAGATAGATGCTATTTATTATTTTAAGGAAGACTCCATTTATACCTATACACTCTAGTGTTTTTAATAGGAATGGGTGTTGTATTTTGTCAAAAGCTTTTTCCGCATCTATTGAGATGATCATGTGGTTTCTGTTAGTTTTGGTGTTGATATGATGAATTATGCTAATAGTTTTCCTTATATTGAACCAGCCCTGCATTCCTGGTATGAATCCTACCTGGTCATAATGTATTATTCTTGTGATAAGTTGCTGTAATCTATTTGCTAATATTTTGTTTAAAATTTTTGTATCTATATTCATTAGAGAAATTGGTCTATAATTTTCTTTCTCTGTTTTGACTCTTCCTGGTTTAGGTATCAGCACCATATTTGTACCATAAAAAGAATTTGGTAAGACTCCTTCTTCACCTATTTTCCCAAATAGTCTAAATAGTATTGGAATTAATTGTTCTTTAAATGTTTGATAGAATTTGCATGTAAATCCATCTGGCCCTGAAGATTTTTTCCTAGGGAATTCATCAATGGCTTGCTCAATTTCTTTTTCTGAGATGGGGTTATTTAAGTATTTTACTTCCTCTTCTGTTAATCTGGGCAATTTATATTTTTGTAAATATGTATCCATTTCACTAAGATTGTCAAATTTGTTGGCATATAGTTGGGCAAAATAATTCCTAATCGTTGTTTTAATTTCCTCTTCCTTGGTAGTAGCTTCACCCTTTTCATTCTTGATACTAGTAATTTGGTTTTCTTCTTTCTTTTTTTTTATTAGATTAACCAAAGGTATATCTATTTTATTGGTTTTTTCATAAAACCAGCTCTTAGTTTTATTTATTAGTTCAACAGTTTTCTTAATTTCAATTTTATTAATTTTTCCTTTGGTTTTCAATATTTCTAATTTGGTGTTTAATTGAGGATTTTTAATTTGTTCTTTTTCTAGTTTTTTTAGTTGTATTCCCAATTCATTGATCTCCTCTTTTCCTATTTTATTTATGTAAGCATTTAAAGATATAAAACTTACCCTAAGAACTGCTTTTGCTGCATCCCATAAGTTTTGATATGTTGTCTCATTATTGTCATTCTCTTGAATGAAATTATTGATTGTTTCTATGATTTGTTATTTGACCCAATCATTTTTTTAGGATTAGATTATTTAGTTTCCAATTATTTTTTAGTCTCTTTCCATGGCCCTTTATTACATATAATTTTTACTGCATCATGATCTGAAAAGGATGCATTTAATATTTCTGCCTTTCTGCATTGGATTGTGAAGTTTTTATGCCCTAGTACATGGTCAATTTTTGTGTATGTACCATGTATCGCTGAGAAAAGAGTATATTCCTTTCTATCCCCATTCAGTTTTCTCCAGAAGTCTATCATACCTAACTTTTCTAATGTTCTATTCACCTCCTTACCTTCTTTCTTGTTTATTTTGTGGTTAGATTTATCTAGTTCAGAGAGGGGGAGGTTGAGGTCCCCCACTAGTATAGTTTTGCTGTCTATTTCTTCCTGTAACTCCCTGAACTTCTCCTCTAAGAATTTGGATGCTATACCATTTGGTGCATATATGTTTAGTAATGATATTACTTCATTGTCTATGGTGCCTTTTAGCAGGATGTAGTTTCCTTCCTTATCTCTTTTGGTAAAATCTATTTTTGCTTTTGCTTTGTCTGAGATCAGGATTGCTACCCTTGTTTTTTTTTACTTCAGTAGAAGCATAGTATATTCTACTCCAGCCTTTTACCTTTACCCTGTATGTGTCCCTCTTTTTCAAATGTGTTTCCTGTAAACAACATATTGTAGGATAATGGTTTTTAATCCATTCTGCTATATGCTTCCGTTTTATGGGAGAGTTCATCCCATTCACATTCACAGTTATGATTACTATCTGTGTCTTTTTCTCCATCCTTTTTTCCCCATTTACACTTTTCTTTCTCCTTTCTCCTTTCCCTCCCTCACTAGTGTTTTGCTTTTGACCACTGCCTCCTTCAGTCCCACCTCCCTTCTATTATCCCTTTCCCTTTTCTTCCCCTTTACCCTTACTGCTTCTTCCCTCCCTTCTATCCCCCCTCCATTTTCTTTCCCCTTTTCTCTCCTACTGCCTATAGTGCAAGTTAGATTTCTATACCTAAATGATTATGTTATTCCCTTCTTGAGCCAAATCTGATGAGAGTAAGGTTCAAACAATGCTCATCCCCCTCCCTTCTTTACCTTTGCTCTAATAGATTTTTATGTCTTTTCTTGTAACGTAGCTTACCCTTGTCTGCCTCCTCCTTTCTCAGTACATTTTCTTAGCTCAGACTAATCCACTTACTTGGATCCATTTAACCCACTTGATTAGATTTTTTTTTAATCATTACATCAAAGTCAACTTATATCCACCCCCTTTATGTATACTCCTTTAATATGGTATAATAACAATACAGTTCTCAAGAGCTGCA